CCTGATCTGCTTGTCTTGTGGTGTGTGAAGATGCCATCCAAGAATATAATGGCTGGACTATTATTGGTCACCACGCGCCAGTCCAACTTGATAATATATCTCAATGATGTCTGAGATGAAATGGGACCATTCAGCAGTTTGTTGGCAACTGCCACTTGACCACATTGCCATGCCATGCCAACCAATCGGATAATCATTTCTGGCTGCTCATATAAGATGGGGCCGATCAGGTGATCGATGAGTTGGATGTCGCCCAGTCGGACTGCGGTGTCCAATGCTTCTTGGACAAATCGTTTGGAATGAATGGTGCCACCACTGTCCAAAGAGCAGAGGCCCTTGAACTGCTGGAGCGTAATCACAGCAGGCTTGACATGATTCAGTACTTTGCTGAGGGCCAGAAGTTTATCGCCGGATGAGACAATAATGATTTCGTCTTCCTTCTGGAAACCATCCACACTGACAAGGGCAGAAAGGTGACGGACAATGACATCACTCTCTTGATCATTTCTAAAAAGTGCAGCATTAAGTCCCCTCGTGAATGCCAATTTCGAGACCACGATGGGTGTTGTTGGACGGATGCATTGGGTGGCGGCGAGGATCATCTCGAGAGAGCCATATGTTGCCAATGTGTCGAACTTCTCACCGATATTATCACCAATCTCGTACATGAAGTATTCAATGAGATCCATTCGCTTCAACTGTACAAAGAGTTTGGTGACGTACATCAAGTGTACGATAAAATATTCTTTCAAATCTGATAATTGATGGGTGATGATCTGAGCCAACAACAGTATGTCAATGATCTGTTTCCTGCCCTCTGCATTACATTGTGGAGCTGGCGACAGAGCATCAACCACTCGCGTGATCTTTTCCATCATAAAATCGATATCCAAACCAGCTCGTCTTGCCAGTATCACAGTGCTCTCGATGTGAGAGGTGAGTGAGATTGAACAACTAACTTGATAATCCAGGTGGTCGTTTAGGTCCTTAATGACCTTGGTTGGGTTGGCCGACTGCAATGCACCATCAATGAAACTGTACTCGTCAAACTTATCAAACACCACGACCATGTCTTTGTTGAGCACCTTTCGCAGGTGTTGCAATTTGTTCCAGAGTAGCTCATCTTCAGAATGCGAAACTATCTCCAGTATATGAACCAATGCTCTCCAATGCTTTCTGACTTGATTGTTGTCCACCTTTCTTGATAAGTGCTCTGTTGTGCAACGGAGATTGAGGAGACCAATCATGATCTCACGCCACACGCTTTGATCGATGTCACTTCTGAAGCGATTCTGGGACCATAGTGAGAGTGTCTTGATGGTTACGGGGAGTTTGACGGGTGAGGTCTGAGAGATGAGGATTCGCAAGGCATTACAGTTGACACCAATGACAGCATACTGAAGCAGCGAGGGGCTGATGAACATATGTTGCCATCGTCGATACACTGATGAGAAGATGGTTTCATCGGTCACGTATTGACACACTACAACTACATCCTTGTAACTTCTCATTTCAATTAATGGATTGTCGGTTGGCTGTTGTTGTGAGTATTGTTGTTGACGTAGTTTGTAGTAGAGCAATGATTGATGACCATTGCGACAGATGTCCTCGACAGATATCCATTGTTTGTATGGCTTTGATAGGATGTATCTTGCCTTGTCGCCATCTTTTGACACACAATCATAAGTACAATGTATGTGCAGGTGTCCGTTTACTTGTCCAAACAGATATGTGTTGTTTAGAACTGACTTAAACAACTCGTTCATCATTATGTATTCTTGTACTTGTTGTAGTTGTAGAAAAATTTGTTTGAATGATTGATTGATGTAATTGTTGGTTATTCAAGTGATGATTGGATCAGAATTGATCATATGTTGGGTTTAATCTAATCAATAAAAAAATTTCATGTTGATGGTGGTGGTTAATGATTGACATCATCATAATCATAATCATTGATGCAAACCACTGGCGCGAGCTGTACATTGACAACTACTTCACAACGATTGGTCTACTTGAGTATCTCAATTCAATACATATCAATTGTTGTGGAACAATCAGATTGGATAGGAAGACCATCCCTGCTCACCTTCAGAATCTCAAATTGCGACAAAAGATGGAACACAATTATCTTACCAAGGTTGGCACCCCGATCACTCTACTCAGGATCAAGGACTCTCGAATATTTGGTTTGATCAGCAACTTCCACTCACCAACCAGTTTGGTACCATACAATTCTTGGAAGCGACCATTGTAAATTCTTGGCGATTTAAAAAGCGTTATCAAGGTTGTAACCAAACGATAGATCAGTTCAGACACTCTCTCAAGACCGAAATGATCAATGGCGAGACCCTCCGAAAGTGTGAGATATCAAACAATTACTTTCACATTGGCGAATAGAAAAGTCCTGCGATAATGACAAGATTGAATACACCTCATATAATGTTGTAAAAAAACAAAAGAAATAATAAACATCAAGTACAACATCTAAAGTTATTATATCCAATCATTTATTACTTCTGGACAATAATACAAATTAAAAACTATTATTTATATTAAATTTAGTGCTCAAAAAAATCATGCAAAAGTTCGCGCCTTGAGGGATATGTGCCCTTTTGGACATGTCATGATCGAGACGGATATTTGGAACATTGCACCGACGACAGATTTGACTAGAACCCCCCACTATTCAGATGATGTGCCGCAAGAAGTAATAAATAAACAAACAATAGTTGCTCATATAAGACCTTAAATGGTTTATGTGTTGATTGGTTAGATGGTTGTTTGGTTGGTTGTTTGGTTGTGGTTTGTATGATTGAGGGATATATGACAATGGGTATTCGCGTGGATGGATGGTAATAGGTGTCGTGGGGGTGGTTTAGGCTACATAGTTGTATCGATCACTCTCGCCTTCAACTCTTTGGATGTACTCTTTCTCGATCAGTTGTTCGATACACTTCTTGATCATTGGAATATGTGGCTGGAATCGGAGTCTGGAGTGCTCAATCACCTCTTGGATAAGCGCAACGTGATTCATATTCTTTCGTGTCTTCATGATTCTGACGATCGACGCTTGCAGATAAAGCTTCCTATCCTCCTCGATACCCTTGTATGTCTCCTCTGTCTGTGCCGATGTATCCTTTTGTAGTGAGCTTGATATCTTTACTCTTAGTCGCTTACTATATATTTGTGTGATCGTTAGTATATATCCTGGTTGGAGGGTTTGGTTATTGGTTAGGATGTACTTACTTGGAGTATGAGTTATTTAATAAATATTCTTGAGCGGCAGAGTCTGGATTCTTCTTCTGGATTAGTATCTTGGACTCGACCAAGGACTGGAGTGTACGCGGTAGTTCACTCTCGTTGAGACTGGTGAACCGATTGATGTCGTCCAGTGAGACCATCTCTTGAGTGTTGAACAGCAGCAGAATGCCCAATTGGAAGTTGGTCACATTGAACTCGTACTGCTTCTTGAGATGTGATGTCCTGACGTCTGCCTTTGACAAGTGGTGTAGCCAATTAAGTCTACGACCCTGATGCTTGGTCTGATAGTAGTTCTGGAATGCAGCTATACAAAGTGTGAGTTCCTGTGGAACAATGAAGCTTGATGTCTGAGAGTGCAATGACCATGCTCCAGATGTAAGTACAAGTATTGAGAAGTCAACTTTAAAGTGTAACGTGGTTAGTATTTGATGTGTGTGACCTATGTATGATGATGATGTAAACACATACCTTTACCAATGTTGACATTCTCCTTCTGGAGATGTTGTCTAAACTCTTCGTTGGTGTCTGTGCTCAGTGTGATGTCTGTCAACATCCTCTGGAACTTGGAGGTGTACTCGAAACCACATGCTTGCTTCAGACCAGTGATCATGAATCTCTCGATATCGTCCGACACTGATGTTCCATTGATAAGTCTACGTGACAACATCTTGGAGTAGAACTTCTGGAATACATCCTTGTCGTCAACGTATTTAAATAGTATTATCTATATCAAAGAATTGTTAGTTAGTGATTGTCCTCCTCTTCCTCCACATCCTCCACTAGCCGTGGTCCACTTACAATTTGGTTCAACTTCTCCTCGAGCTCTACGTCCTCAGACTGTTTGGTTCCCTTCTTCAAGAGAATGTCACAGTACTTGGCCAACAACTCTGGTGACTTGGTCGTGTTCTTGGTGAGATGGTTCTGGTTGAATATCTTGAGACATGCAGCATCCAGTGCAGTGATGAACGACACATCATTGTTGAATGACTGTTTGATAATAGAACTGAATCTCTGATAGATGTCCAACAATGTCTCCACATATATCTTGGGGTCTGTAATGCTTGCATCTGGGATGGCCTTCAATGCGTCAAAGCCAGTCTGTTGTATATAGTTCTGGACTGTCTCGAGCACAGGAGATAGTCCTCCTTCAATCCTCGAGAGCAACTTATAAAGTCGATGGATATCTAGTGTAGTGAACAGTGTCAATCAATCAAGTAATCAATCCTTCGCCTGATGTCATATGTCATCAACTTACTGTCAAGCTTCTCATCCTTCAAATAGTTGATACACTCTGCGTGTAAGAGATCCTTGTGCTTCTCTATCAGAATGGAGTCGAGTAGACGCTTTAGCTTCTCGTGCGATGAGGAGTTGAGGAACTTTTGAGAGCGATGGTACTCCTCCTCGATCCTCTGCTCAGCCCTCTGCATGTAGCTTGATATGCCATGTGTGGAGATGTAGGACGATGACTCGCGAGTATAGAACTGTCGAGTGTTCTCCAAGTAAGATGCTTCATACTCTGATCTGTACAGGAACTTGTCCTTGTCGATTGTGTCTAGTTTGACTAAATGTACATGTATGTTAGTGAGTGGACTACCATCACAGTGTGATCAATCAGATCAAGGAACATACTTAAACTCTCCATAAACTGAGTAACTATTTGATGCTGGATCTCCTCTCCATCTCTACTTTGTTGTATCAATATCTCTACACATCGCATCACCTTGTCCTTGAGTCTAAAGAACAGTCTGTCCTTCCAAATCATCAATGCCAACTTTATCAATCACCTGTTAGTGTCATGTCCTTCCATCCATTCATTCATTCAATCGTTCAATCATTCAATACAATACATACAGTGTATATCTCACAGACATCAGACACCYTGACCAAACTTCTTATCACGATACATATCCATTCTCTTATGGATCCAGTTGTTGTTCTAAATCAATGATAGGCTATGTTAGTTATATGAGCTGATGAGTTGTATTTATCATCAATCAACCTACCAGGTATCTGAAGATGACGTTGCAACCTTGGCTTCCTAGTGAGTACTTCTCCCACTGCTTCAAGTACTCGGATATAGTGTCTGAGCTCGTGGTCAGGATGGCCTGGATAGAAGGATGGGGAAGTAAGTATGATAATACACATTGCAACACGTATTGTCAAACATGTGATAGCATACCTCTCTCAACTGATCGACATGGTTCTCAAAGAACTTCTTGATGCTGTCGTACAGTGGCTCTGAGTGTGGATGTGGCTGTGATACACATAGATCATAGACGTCCCTGTATTAGAGGTGAAGTGAGATTGAGAGTGAGAGTGAGAGGGAGAGTGAGAGGGAGAGGGAGAGTAGATGTGACGGTGGATGTTAGGATGGAGTCACGACACAATATCATATGAATGAATGTGAGTATCAACAACATACTGTGCCAAGTCGAAGCCACTGACATGTAAACCAGAGAGTATACGTGACATTCCATTTGACAGGTTATCCCACTTCTGATTAAAGTCCACAGTCTTTCGAAGCAGACTAGTAGTTGATATTGTACTGGCCATTATGTTTCTACTTGTCTGTTGGAGTTAGGTGAGTGAGTGAGTGATGGAGTGATTGTGGATAAGATAATGTTTGAGTAAGGTATATAGTTTGTAGATACTGTCTATATATGATGGATTATATATAAATATATGTTATATGTGTATGATTGATTTGAGTGATTGTCTGAATGACTGACAGCTTGGTGTTATTGTTTGGATGTAGATGGAGGTGTGTGGTTTGAATGAAGTAACACAAATTATATTGATGTGGGGGGAGAAGGGTGGAAGTGATGATGGGGGTGATGATGGTTTGAGAAAGGACCTGGATGGACTTTATTTGATCAAATATGGAGTTGGTCTAGACCATGTTGGCATCCTCTGATGGTTCGGCATCATTCATTGAAGATAGGATGCCGTCCACTCTATCGATCACCTCCTTGCTATAGTGCTCTGGAAGGGATTTGTACTTGTCGTGAAGGTCTGCCTCGCGATTGGTCATCACGACAAGGTTGCTGAGAGACAGTGGAAGATCTGGTCGCCAGCGAACAACTGTGAGCAATGCTTTGTTGGCACTGGCATCGCCATCGGTGATGCATGAACGACATTGGAATACTTGCTCGACGGTGAAGCGCAGATTGGTCGAGTCGATCATCTTCTTGATCAATATGGGCGATGTATTGTGATGCACCTGCTCGCGCTTGATCAGCTGCTTGAGCATCTTGTTGTACTCGGACATGGGTGGTGGCGCCTGGCGCTCCTCCTCCTGCACCGTGGGCAGGCCGACTATATCGTTGAGACACGTGTTGCCCATGGTCGTGCCAAAGATGAAAGGGATGGGCATCGACACACCCAGTGTTCTGATACGCAGTGTCGACTTAACCTGCGTCTTGAGCAGCTCCTTCTCCTGCTCCGTGAGCGGGATCAGCTTCTTTCGGTGCTTCTCGCTGGAGCACACACAGAGTATGCCCGTGGTGATGCCGTTCTTTCGCAGTAGACGACGCACCTCCTTGCCGAATGGACAGCCAAATGTGAATGAGAGGTCGCAGATGTTGATGCGGGTGGGGTCCGACGAGGAGCCAGCGCCAAACGAGCTGATCACCTTGAGGTTGTTCTGCTTGCAGAATGTCAACAGCTGCACCTTGGTCTCGGTGTTGTCGATGCAGTCCAGCACGTAGTCTGGGTTGCCGCCGAGCAGTGTGGCAGCCACGTCCTCGGTGAAGAATGATTGGATGGCTTCGACCTCCACCTCGGGACAGATGGCGTTGAAGTAGGACTTCATCGTCTCGACCTTGGAGCGTCCGACGTCTTTGCGCTGCGCCAGTACGTTCCTGTTGAGTGAGCTGATCGTCACGAGATCTGGGTCAATCAGACGAATCTTCTTGACGCCTGAGCGAAGCATGACATGTGCGGCAGCACCGCCCACGCCTCCCAGACCAACGACAATCACAAATGATTCACGGATCTTCTTGAAAGCCTCCTCGCCATAGTAGAGCATTGTCCTATTCATCTGCTCATCGAATATCTCTTGTTGAAGCATTGAGTTGACGTCAGTCTTGTCCTTGGCGAATGGGTCACCAGACACCTGTTGTGTTGTTGTTGTTGTATCGATTGGTTTGATATCATCGTCATCATTGTTGTTATCTGTCATATGTGTATCTGCATTATCGAATGTGATGTCATCCATATGAGTCTTTCTCTTCTTGTATGTATTGTTGTTATTGTTGTTATTGTTGCCATTTGATTCATTATTATTGATAGCCTTTGTAGATATATAGGTTGCAGCTGCACCAATGCCTGCACTAAGTGCTGCAATAATATATGGGTTGTTCATTGTACAATGAACACTGAATAGAGATAGAGATAGAGAGTTACTCGTGCACTTCTTTGAAATAAATTGGACCCTAACCTCGCGACTCGTTCAAAGACTTGACTTTGGCATTCGTCTAAGGTTCCCACTTCCAATTTTGGTAATAACCAAGATGCATGAACAGATAACAGATAAACAAACAAAGAAGAAGAAGAATACTATTTATAATTGATTCATATGTTGTTGGTGGAGTATGTCCTTCCGTATGGTCTAACAATGTTGATGTTCATCAGCCACAGCAGTAGTTTGGTGTTGTTCGTGAGGGACTACTTCAGCATGTTCAGACACAACAGTCAGTTGTTGTTCGTTTGATACAACAGTTTGTTGTTGTTGTTGATCGTTAGATGGCTCAACAACATTCTGCTGGGCGACTGGTGGTCCTGGTTCTCCAACCAATGGCTTTGCTTCAGGGGTCGATTCAGATGATGACGATGTTGTTGATTGATCGACATTAGGTGGTACAACAACAACAGAAGCAGCAGTATTGGATGTCGACTGGAAGAATAGAACTGGTTCATTCTTTGGATGTACTACGGGTGGGACAGCGATAACCAATCCATTGTTGGCAGCAATGTACCACTCTGGCAACCATGGATAGAATGAATTTGTCATTGGTAGATTACTTGGCCAACTCAACTCCAACTCCTTCACTATACGTCTGGCAAACGATAGACAATTGGCCTGCTTGCTCCATTTGACGTATGCCGTTGAGCCATCAATCTCGGAGATGAACTGATCGAACTTCTCCTCACCCCAAAAACGCAACACTTGTGGTCGTTGCAAGTTGGATGGTCTATGACGATCGGTGCCCTCTTCCAACAATGCCTTGTCCAATGTACCCACATAGACCCTTGGATACATTGACATTGGCATTGATCGATAGGCACATCTATAACGTACGGCATCACAGTTGTCTGCAACGATCAGATGTAATTCAAGACCAGTGGTAGTATCGATGGTGGACTCATTCCTCAAGTCAACCAACACTGAATAATGATGATGCTTCCTCTTTTTGAATATTGAAGTAGTATCATGATTGTTGCCATTACCATATTGGAGAATGAACACGTTACCCAGTCCCTTAATATATCTGGTCCTCTCTTCTTTGGATGCAAACTCTGTCATTTCATTCGGTACTTTGTCAAGTCTGTCATCCAACATGACATTCTCCTCACATGGAATCTAGATAGAATAGTTGGAATTCAATGTAAGTACTAAATTAATAATAATCAATTGATATAATTAACACTTACATTATATGGTTTGGATATTGAAATACCCATCTTCAGGAAGTATTATTATTATTTCAAAAGAGAGATATATAAGTAATGCAGGAATATTGATTATTAATCATTCATTAATACATCTCCATTCAATGATAGCCAAACTCAATCAGTTATAGATTACCAAGTTGGTTCATTGGTACCAAGCCAACAAATAAACCAATGATCAAGATCCAGTGATGGGTTGGTTGAATAGAGTTGATATTTATTAAATATTTTAATTATTATTATTACAACTCATCTTTCTTGTTTTCCTTGTTTGATTGCTTTGAGGCTGGTGCTGGTGATGATGGTCTGTGTTGTGATTGATTGTTTCAATTAGTGAATGAATGATCCAAATATTGATTGGAATAATTCCATCATTATCATTGATTGACTTACGCTTTGAACCATGCAACGAGATCGGTTACAGACCTGTCACCATCGTAGTTGTAGGTGTCCTTGCCCTTGGAGAAGTAGATCATTGTTGGGAATCCTTGTACTTGATACTTCTCACAGACACTTCTCTCGACACTGCAGTCGAATGAGGCGAAGTCACCAAGCTTGTTATCCTGGGCAATGATTGATGCCTCTGCGTAAGCTGGCTTCATCTTCTCACAGTGTCCACAGTTTGGTGAGTAGAACATGATGATAGTCTTTGGATGACTGTTCAAGAAGGAGCTAATGTTCCTGGTGGTCAAGTGATACACTTGTGACTTGATCTTGCTCCATGTACCCGGTCCATACATTGGTGGGATTGGTGTGTTTGGACTATAGATTGATTGATTGTTTGTTTGATTGATTGATTGATTGATTGATTGATTGATTGATTGATTGATTGATTGATTGAGCTAGTGAGTGAGTGATCAAGATATACCTTCCTTGGACTTGATGTTGTACTTACTCCTCAACGAAGGCCTTTAAGTTTGGTGAAGTCTTTGGAAGGATGAAGTCGGCATAGTGTTGACCATTCCTTTAAACAATGAGATTCATATTAGTGATTGAACTGGACTTCTTGACTGATCAATGAAACATACTTAAAGTATATAATAGTGATTGGTTCTTGGATATGGAACTTCTTACGAAGTGTAAACTCTGTCTCCATGTCAACAAAGGCAAACTGTGTGTCTGATCCTTCCTCATCACACTGAGATGACACCTTCAAGAAGGCATTGACAAACTTCTCAGACTCCTTTGTGTCTAATCAGAATGTTTTACATTGTTGTTAGTATGAGCTACATGTCATCAACAACATATGTCTGCCTAACACCTACGTGTATAGAAGAATACAACTAATGACTTTGTTGATGATATCAGTGTGTCGATGGCTTTGGACGCTGGTACAATCACCTTGTTCTCCTCGAAATCAAATGTCTTCTTGGCTTCAACAATGCTGCTGCTAGCCATCATTAACAACAAAGTTGTTGCCAACAAGTATAATGTCTTTGTATTCATCTTTATATGTGTAGTAAATAATATGTGTTTGTTTGATTGATAGATTGATTGATTAATCAAACTCATCAGCTGATCTGATTGAGGCCTTGAAGCCCACCCCATACCACACCCCCAACAACACCCCTTCGTTTTAAACAGGTGAACTTCACCTTCCCTCCTTTGTTTATGACTGGGATACTACTACTTCCTGATGGTGACCATAAAGTTCATCAACTTGGTTAATGTGTTGCTGGACATTGGGAAGTCTATCTTGCCAGCGAATTGTGTCAGTGATTGAGCACGTGATTGAATGTCATCGATGGTCTTTTGACGTCCAGCATAGAGTTGAGTGGTGGCCGGTGGGAGGTAGGCCTGGTTCATGGGCAGCGCCACCAATTGGTAGAGTCGCATGATGATGTCGATGGTGGCCTCAATGATGGCCGAGAAGTTCTTGGTGATGCAGCCGCTGAGGAAACGGTAATTCTCTACGGCCATCTCCACGTCGCGCTCGACGATAGGCAGAATGCTTAGTCTGTCCAGCAGGTCCAGTGCCTCCTGATACCTCTCCTTGTTGTACAGGTTGAAGAAGTCGGCCAGCTGCAGCAGCTGCTCAAACGCGAGATAGGACGACTTGTCCGAGTGGCTGATCTTGATCTGCAGCTGACGGTCATTGAACAGCTCCAGGCCAAACTGGTACAGCTGGTCCTTCTCCACAGAGACACTCTTGAGCAGGATGGACATGCGGTTGTTGTAAAGGTCCAGCACGCGGGCGTACTCTTCAATGAGCAACCAGTAGGAGATGGCCAGTTGATAGTTGCTGCGCGACTCGTAGGTCAGGGCGGTGTGCTCAATGATGCGACGCCACTGATCCTTGCGGATAAAGTCTGGCATGGTGAGCAGATGGCGCGCAAAGTCTGTGTCGCAGGTCGATGTGACTATGAGGTCTGAGATGCAGGCCGTCTGTATCTGGTCGTTGTCGATAAACAGGTAGTAGTAGAGTGCCTCAGTGTTGTCCGTCTCGGACGAGAACGACCTGATGTACTGGCGAATCATTGCCACCACGTTCAGAGTGCCGCTGGATTGATTGTAAATGTCGCTGCTGTCGACAAACGTCTGATCGGGACGTGGCTTGTTCAACAGGCTCGCGTGATCCAGTGCCAGGGCAAAGTGGAGGGCATCCTCCTGGTTGCCCAGAGACAGATGTGCGATGCCCAACTCATACTGACATGTCAACAAATGAATCTGGAACAATACCATTGGGTCGAATGGTGTCTGTGACAATGTATCATTGATATCCATTTGAAGTGATTGCAATGAATATGCTTGGTATCTAATGAATGACAACTAAATATGATTGATTGATGATAGGTCGTTGTCAGTTGATTGAATTAATGGATTGAATGAATGGACTTACTCTCCACCAGATCAAGTCCTGGATAAAGGGGAATAGGATGGTGTTGGAATGTACATTGGTGGCATCCACCATTGACAACAGATTGAACACGGCAATCTTGAAGTAGTCCTTGCTCTCGTTCCTCACAACTCTGTACTCCTGTGCCATCTTGTTTGTTAACTCTTGTGGACTGAAGTTGGCAAGCATCGTGCGGGTTAGTAAAGTGTACATCAATCATGAATGAATGAGCTGAATGGGATACATACCATTTGCCATCACCCTCTCGACGAGCTGTGACAATATTGCGAATGAGATCACGATAGCGACCGAGATGTGCGGTCAGCTCCAGGACCACTTGATGGTAGCCCGCTCGCATGGAATAGTAGATGATGGACCAGATGGAACAGTTGCGATAGGTTTCACCTGGGTCGGTCTGTGGATGCTGGACGTTGCTGTTGATGTATGATACCACCTCCTCGAGTGGTGAGGAGATGTTGCTGATCGTGGGTATCCTCGTCTTCATTGTGTTGACGAATTGCTCCTCGAGGAACTGGATCGTGCGACGCACCAGGCCAATCATCTTGGTCTCGGCGGGTGGTGCGGCACCCGTGCGCTCCGTAAGTTTCTCGATCAGTATCCAAAGGTCCTCAATGACCTGGCGGTTCTTGGTGGTGCCAGCAAGGTGTGCGTCCATCAATCGTTGGACGAACGGGTAGTTCTGCTCGTGGCCACCGCCGACATTCGACTTGTCGGCCTGGAGACACTCAAACACTACCTGAGCGTATGCGCGCATCTTGTTGGAGAGCTTGGTCTTCTCCTCGCCCTTCATCGTCAACGCCAGTTGGCCACTGAAGCCTCCAGCATTGGACATGAACATCGACTGCTGTTGTTGTTGCTGTTGTTGCATCTGCTGTGGCTGAGGAAGCTGGAGCTGTGAGCCGCCACTCATCAGCATGGCGGGTGAGACTGAGCGACGGCCGCTCGCCATCATAGATGAGCCGCCAAGATCGATCTGCTGCTGCTTGTGTACCTTGACGAAACGCTGGCCCAACGTCTCCTCCAGTGTCTTCTTGTCGCGTGCCCACTCTGACAACGATGACTGTTGGTAGTTGTTGGTGAACTCCTTGTTTGTCCTCTTCTGGACGTCATGTATCGAGTTCATAATCATACTCTCAAACTCGCCCTTTAAGAACTGTTCAACATCAGTTGGTACAGTCTCAACATCAATGAATGACGCTGTCGATATATTCTCCAATGACTCTCCAATAACCTTTGGTTCTATCTTATATTTGTTGATGGCCTTTCTACATTCATTCATTAATTGTAGTTAGTATTATTGATTGATTGATTGATTGATGATATGATACACATACTGATATGATTCATTGTATGGAATTGACTTTGAACTTGTTATATCATTTAGTAATCTTGATGTCTCACCAAGCTCTTTGAGTGATCGATCATAGTTGATTCCATGAAAGGTAGTGGCGAATCTATCCATCAATTGGCCAGATCTCTCTGCCAAGTCACTAAAGTTAACATCTGTCATAACTTATTCTATATATATATATTACTGTTTATCTAATGTAATGTATGTATGTATAAGATGTTTTTGTTATATATATAAGTGAAGGTAGCACTCGTATCTGATCAGATGAGCGAATGAATGTGTGTTCAACTTCAACAAGAAAGACAAAGTGTTGAAAAAAGGAGGGCTTGCTGGACCTTGAAACATCAACTTTCATTCATTCGTTCACTTTGATATCTCTTTACAACAACAATCAATCAATCAAACATATATACACAATGACTATAGCCAACGTACTACATAAGACTATTACAGGAACACTGTTTGCTGTCACACTAGTTGGTGTCGGTTACATCTGTGTTGGTACTGTTGACTTGATCGACAGGAGAAATGTAAGTATATCACTACTCTTCATTGTGTAGATCATCTGATGGACACTAACAACAACTACAACTATGCTGATGATGATGACAACAGAAAAGGAATGCTGCACAAGAAAAGGCAATGAACGAATTCTTTGAGACACAAACAGCCAACAAGCAGGCATTGAAGAAGCAGCAAGAGGAGAACCAAGATGATTAAGAATATCAATCATGATTACAATATATATAGATAGTTATATAACGATATAGGGGATCATTGATCCCAATGTATATAATGATACCCAACAATAACGATTCACGCTGCTGGCGCCAGTCAGACCTTGACCTCTCGCCAGCAACCAGCAAACAAACTCACATAATAGCAGTGATTGATTGGCAACTACATCAACGACAACAGCAACTAATAATAAAACCAATAACAATGGTCTATTAAGTCATTGACTGCTCATGTTTTTTAGGCAGTAAGTAAACAAAGACTATCATATGGTCGTCATGATGAACTTTGTCTGCGTCATCACTCAATAGAAAGCGGCAACAACAAAGAGGGAGTCTATTCTCTCTCTCTGGCAAGCTGTCTGTCTAATGTTTGTCCAGAAGTATAATAGAACCTAATGTCACCCAGGTGTAAAGCTTTGTCCCTACCATTATCCGCGGAAGATTCTTTGTGGCATCATCGTGTGAACATGTCCTTTGCGGATCAATGCATCTGTTTGATTTTTTCTACATCGATTCATCTTATCAAACTAATAGTTCTCTCTCTATCTATCTATCTATCTCGGTTCTTATTACATGTAATAATGAGACCAAAGAATAATAATAGCAATGCTGCTGGAGGAGGTTCATCATCCTCTGGTGTCAAGACAACATTGATGAGGATGTTTGTTGTACTGATCGCATTCATGACCTACAACACTATGATGTACACATCCAAACAACCAAACATTCAAACACTCGAGAAGGATCATGTCGACTCATACACTGCTCTCTCTGAGCAACAACTGGCCAGGCGATTGGGTGATGTATGTTATCTAACTCATTCAATCAATCAATCAATCAAGAACTCATACTAATGACCAACAACAACCATAGTCTATCAAGTTCAAGACCATATCATTTGCTCATAAGGATGAGATCAACTACCAGGAGTTCTTGGACTTCCACAGGTTCCTGAATAGGACATTCCCAAAGGTGCACAACTACCTCGAGATCAATATCATTAACGAATACTCATTGTTGATGCAGTGGAAGGGCAGCGATCCAGACTTGAAACCGGCTATGCTGGCCGCACACTTTGACGTCGTGCCAATTGCCAACCCTGATCAGTGGACTCATCCCCCATTCGATGGCGTAGTCGACGACCAAGGCTTCATCTGGGGCCGTGGCTCAATGGATGATAAGTTGGCCGTGATGGGTATCTTGGAGGCCGTCGAGGACTTGATCGAACAAGGCTTCAGACCACAGAGATCACTCTACCTGGCGCTTGGACACGACGAGGAGATTGGGGGAGTAGACGGTGCCAAGCACATGGCAGAGTACCTAAAGGCGCGTGGAGTCCAGCTCGAGTACATACTGGATGAGGGACTGCCAATCATGAGACCACCTGTGCTTCCTGGTGTGACTCGCAAGGTAGCCGCAATTGGCATGTCCGAGAAGGGCTACATCACAGCGGTGCTCAACATCAAGTCTGACGGCGGTCACTCATCAATGCCTCCAAAGAACACAGCCATCGGTATCCTTGCCCAAGCTGTGGCCAAACTCGAGGCCAACCCCTTGCCAGCGGCATTCAACGAGGTAGCCTTGTTGCTGGACTTTGTTGGACGCGAGGCCACTCTCCCCTATCGCTTTGTATTCTCCAATCTCTGGTTGTTCAGACCATTGATATCATACGTCCTTTCGCTCAATCCTGGAATGGATCCATTGCAACGAACCACCACAGCTGTCACCATGTTCAATGGTGGAACCAAGCCAAACGTACTTCCAAACGAGGCCAACGCCACCATCAACTTTAGAATATCCCCCTCACAATCAGTCCAAGATATTTTGGATCATATCAAGAACACAATCAATGATGACAGGAGTATGTATCCAATCTTATTGATTGATTGATTGATTGAATGAAGGAGTACTTACAAACTTTATTGGACATTAGTTACGATCATTCCAGAGGAGTTCACTGAGCCATCACCAATATCATCAGCTGATTCACCATCATTCAGATTGATCCAAGCGACAGTCCTTCAGGAGTTCCCAGAGGTCATTGTGGCACCAGGTCTAATGGTTGCCAACACAGACACTAAGTGGTATTGGGACCTTTCGTAAGTCATCCACTATGGAATGGTTCCACCCAATCAAGTCACTCACACTACCATCCATACTTCCTACACAGCAACAACATATACAGATTCTGTCCACAAGAGTTGTCCCACAGCGACTTGAAGCGTTTCCATGGTATGGACGAGCGATTGTCCTCATCAGACTACAGACAACTGGTTGACTTCTACTACCATCTCATCAGGAATGGTGATCAACTATTGCGATAATCAATCGATCAACCAATCAAAGTGAGATAGAGATAATAGGATATTGGTTGGTAAATTCAATGTATGTGTTTATTTATTCATTGAGCGCGGACTATATAATAATATATATTATGTAATGATATCGGATTAGATTAGAATAATACAGCGATCAATGAAGCCAGAAGTGCACTGCTTATGTAGAGGGCATGAAATGGTTTGACTTTGAATGCATGTGATCCGCCAGTGTCTGCAGGTGGCTTGGGATCGATGTAGGCACGAACTGTGATCTGATCCAGGTACATATCGGGCTGGTCAGAGTTGGGAATGAACTGGATACCATCGAATGTCGTGCCCTTGGCTAGATCCTCCATATTGACCACCACCTTGGACCACTTGCCTGCTGGCACGTCTGTGCCTATCAGTGATGCCAGAGAGTATTGATGCTGGACCTTGACCGTCTGGTCCTCGTTGAGGTTTACAAGCTGGAACTGGACGTCTTGGCCACCATCATGACCACCATGCACGTAGAACTCAACAGTGCGGTGAAGTGTCGTGCTGATACATCCCCAACACATGAAGAAGATGGACTTGTACTTCTTTGGCTCATATGAGATCGAGTACTTGCCCTCGAACACTGGTGCTGTGCAGTTGAAGGCGTGCTCTGCGGATGACCAGTCATCGACCCAATGTGTAGCCTTGTCATTGAATATGTCAAAGGTGTCGGTGTAGAATGGATCCTTGCCCTTGCCAATGGTAACTGTATGGTACTTGTAGCCCTTTCCAAAGTTGGATGGCTCTCCGTTCCAAGTCTTGAGCAGAGCTGGATCACTGCAGTTGGCCACCATCCATGACCACGCCAAGTAATGTATCTTGTTCTGGTCACAATAGTGCATAAAGTCCTGGGTGAAATCTGACAGGCAGTCCTTCTGTCCAGTCTCAGTGGCGATCAAGGGAAACTTCTGGAGCATTGGCTTAAGGTAGACGTCCCAACAACCCTTGGAGCGACAGTAGTTAAAGTCGTAAGCGTGCAATGCTGGCACCAGTTGGGATAGCGAGTCCTCTGGTAGGTATTGCTCGAACTTGGTCAAGGAGCTGGCGTACTGAATGCCAGACAGGAGAATGATGTTTGGTGCACCAGATGAACGGATGGCATCGACCAATTGCTGCATGCCAGCTGCAGGGTAAGTCAGGTCTGGTCCACACTCGGTACCATTCTGCCAGCATTGCCAGGCGGCCTCTGAGTCCCATGCATTGCCATATGGATATGGCTCGTTGTAGGCGTCGAATATCACACGTGAGTTGGACTTGAATGTCTTGCCAACTGACTTCCAGAAGCTTGGTGAGTGATCGCGATTGGGCATTGGGATCTGTTTGGTTGCGAGCATCTTGCCACCTTCATCTCCGACCCAATGTAGATCGAGGATCACCGCAAAGTTCTTGGCGGTGAGTGATGTTACGTAGTTGGTGACGGCATTTCTGTAGCCTGCTCCAAAGTATGTAGTCTCCTTGCCATTCTTGCCCAGCCAGCAGTCCTCGTTTAGTGGCACACGGATCACATTTAGATTCCAATCCTTGATGGCGTTGATATGTTTATCGTCGACAGGTCCATCAAACACCTTTTTGAACTGGACACAAGAGTATTCAGTACCGGGACGATTTGCGCCCCTCAGGAACACCTCCTTGCCTTCACCATTCACTATCTTGTTACCAGCCACTCGCAATCCACTCAATGACACTTCGTTTGATGGTGTGGCAGCATTACTAGTTGTTGTCAATAATTGTATGATAAATAATAAAACTAATATAATTATTGATGATCTATTATGATTACTATATTTGTCCATACTTGATAGAATAATATTATTGAGGGACTATAGTAAACTATATAAATATACCTCTAAAAAATAAATAATAATTATTGATCAATCAATCAAATGGATTAGAGTTGTAATGAATCCAGAAAGGTTGGATTTATCAAAGCATAACCATCCTACCCATCGATGATCAGCGGTGTTTTGTTTGTCCTAGTCCGTTCCGCTCCTTCCGTTCCATTCATCACCCCCTACTATACCTAGTTTGGCGAATATCGCACACGCCGTTCAATGCATTGGCGGTCGGCCACACATACTCACCCAACCCAATCCATATCCATAAGGTTGTTTGATAATGATGATAATGAAGATAATAATGATGATGATGATAGTATTTAGTACATATACACATCACTATATATATAATGTACATCAATGCTTTATTGTTGATGTAGTAGTTGTTGTGGATGGCGATGGATGATTATTAGTGAGTGAGTGGTATATGTGGATAGTCTACATTATAAATATAAACTCTTACTCCTGTGTGTTTGATATATACAGTGATGATTGTTACAGCTGTCATTCAGTCAGTCAGTCAGACATGTTGTTGTTGATGGGCATTTGATTGATTAATGTAGTCAGGTAATGAATGTATGATTGTGTTGTGTTTGTGGTGTGTGAAGATGTCTATTACTCGCTTGGGTATTATGTTGAACACACGTACACATAGAACAATGATTGTCCATTTTTGTTAACTCGTCTTTCCAACACAACCACCAACCCACTCAATCACTCACCAATCTTGAATGATCACACACTGACTGACTAACAAACAAAGTGTGTATGTACACCCGGGAAACGAAGGTGATTGTATAACCCCTGATGTATGGTGGGTTACTTGAGGTGAACTGCAATGTTTGATTGTCTTGTCCTTATTTGGACATGGCCTTATCGTATGGATCAAGATCGATGTATGTATATTAATAATAATAATGGATCATCATTATAAATGGATCATCATAACCTTTCCAGATGATTTGATGTGCCTTGGCCATGTCTATCCATAGTAGTAGATGTTGTTGTAATAGTTGTAGTAGTCGTAGTATTAGTTAGTTGTTACAACAACAATGGTGGTGATGATGATAATGATAATTATGCACCAAACAAACAAACAACAATGAACGACAGTGCTATTTCCAATCGATATCGAGATTTAAATTAATACTGTTGATTGAATATAGATTATGTCCTGTTGCTGTTGCTACTGTTCTAGAATAATCTAAAGTCGAATGTATCCTATTATGTTTGATTGATTGATTGATTGATTGATTGATTGATTGATTGAGTGAATGAGTTAGCGGCTACATTGATCATGATGATGTACATGTTGAACTACACATACTTGTATCTGACTGACAGCTGTCCATATGCATTCCTCAACGTTTCTAATGTACTCGGACCGCAAAAAGAGGAAGAAGAAGAGTATTGATGCAAAGTCAGAGAGTTGGATGAGGTCCACCCAGGAGAACACGTAGAGTGGACAGCCACCAGGCAGGAATTTGGCCCAAACAAACAAGGGCAGATAGTTGAAGATGTTGAACAGTGCACCCAGCATCAGGAACACTCTGCTCTGTGTAGTCGGTCCCTCTCCACCATTACGTGTGAACGTGATCATCAATGCCAATGTCAACACTGGTATATGTTGTAGAATACAGCATCCCAAAAGTATGTAATAGAATACTGCATTCTCCTTGCTGTGTTGTTTGGTGTACGATCGTTGGTTAGTCAGTGACTGAGGTGCCAAGGCCTTGGAGTGAATCGACGCCCAACATACATTATCTCTACATAGAGGAATACAAGGAAACAGATAAAGAAGAAGAGGAAGAGGATCTCAGAGAGTGTGACATTTCTCTTGAGTATGGAGATGAGATGGTTGGAGCCTGATTGGTCGTTTGGTGCGATCAAGGGGTCGGTCTCCTTGTTGAGTTGCTGTTGCTTCTGTGATGATGACGATCTATATTTCCTCTGATGGTTCAATGCCAATGCCAACGTAAGTGCAGTGAATCCACTCAACGTCAAACTAGCAATGAAGAATATCTTCTCTGCCTCCTCCTCCTTATTTCTATTCATTGCAAATCGAACTGTATTTGATGCTCCTCTATAAAGTATATCGTTGATTGGTTAGTCATAATATCAACCTATGATTGAGTATGTACATACCTAAGTCCAAGTACTAAATAGTATAAGATCCATATTGTATTCGATATTGTTTGTGTTCTTATCTTCTTGTGGAACACTGCGACACTGTTGTACTTGAATGCGATGATCGTTGCGAAAATGAAGCAAGCCAATGCCAAGCTGCCAAAGATAATGGTGATTGATGGATTGTATATATATTGATTCAACACTGAGCTCTCTGGGCACACTGGCAGAGACATCTCGAGATAATCATCTGCTGCCATTTTCTTCTTGATATTATTATTGTTATTGTTGTTGTTGTTGTTATTGTCTTATTAATATGTACACTTTGAACTGAATGTTGTTGTTTTTGTTGTTTTGATAGATGATTGTTTGTTATCTCTATCAATCAAACAAGTGGTACTCTTTGTTGTGTTGTCCTGTTGTCTATCTGTCTACCTGTCTATATCACTACTACTTGTGGCGTGGGTGTTTGGTCGACTTGTTGTTAGTATCGCTTGCTCACTCTCACTTTGTTCATTCACGTTTTTAAAGTGTTTGAAGTGTCACACACACAGCTCATTCTCTTAATCAATCAAACCACAACAACTTTAAATACATACATATAATATAATATATACATGTAGTAATACGTATAAGTTTAAAAATATTACTTCTATGTTAGGTGATAACCTTTAGGACCTTGGCAGCAAACCAATGAGTGGATTCTCTTTTGTGCCCTCAAATGATTTTTTGACCTGATTTGAGGATAAAATTAAAAAACCCCCAAAAAGATTCGAGTATCTCACTCTGAGAAGTGGATACGCACAAACAATTCCATTAACCTTTCCACACACCCAAACATGGATATGATCGTGGCATTGGGCATATTGATGGGGTTTCACACACATACACAACAATCAATCATGATTGATTGTTGTTGGTGGTGTTTATTCATTTTGATGAAAGTCAGGGGAGACTCTACAATGGTATTTGGAGATCACTTTTTTTATTCCCATTACGATCAAATCAAACTTAGGTATTAGAGACTAGAGATAAGTTCAATCCTAGTACATGAGGTAGAGTTGAATCCAAAGAATGAGAGGTTGGCAATCATTGAAAGGAAGTGAGTCTCGGACGCAGAACATTTGGGGTCCTCCTCTTCTGAGTCATTACACTCGCGATAGTTCAAAGGCTCATCCTTGTCACCAAAGTATATCTCTGATGGTATGTGTACCAACTCTGCATCCTTTGGCAGATGTACCATTTGATCACGACGGTTGGTCAGTCGTCTAATGCTTGGCACGATCGTACTGGTGAACCATTTGACAAAGAGTGAGTTGCCAACCTTTGGTGAGCCAAATGTGTACATCTCAAACTGGAATCTATCCCTATACATAGGAATCAAGTCAATAGCAGCATGGACCAACATTGCACCTCCAATCGAATGTCCATTCAACTTCAAAACATTACAAGTTGGACAATGATCAATTGCCAGCTTCATTCCTTCTAATATCTGTGGTCTCAACTCTAGAAAAAGTCAGAGTTAGTCAACAAGTCAGTCAGTCAGCCAATCTACAAAGTGCACTTGATTATACATACCATTGTATGCATCATAATAGTCAACGACAATATTCATCCTCAAGTTATTTTTATAAGGTCTCAACAAGACTGATCCTTTGGAAAGACTTGAAAAAGAACTGGCAATGGTACCTCGCAATGATATTACAACTATATTGGTACAGGAGAGGCCATTTATGGTTATTATCCAAATTATTAATCAAAGTTCAATACCGCTCATACTTACTCGATGAACCTTCGATACCAATCAAACCAAAGTTATTCCTATTGGGTAATCCAAAAGTTTGTAATACAGAGAATTCAACTGGAAGCATTCCATTATTACAATATGGACAAATCCATGCTAGAATCTGATTTATTGGACAATACAATGAATATGCATACTAATTCAAAAATAGTCAATATTAGTAAATGTTGAGTATTAATACTTCACTCTTATTAATATATATACTTACAACCAAATGTTGTTTGGCAGATTCCAATGAGAATGGTCGAATCTCAGCTGCAGGGTACTGTGAAGGAGTTTCTCCTTTTATTGAACCAACTACTAATAATATTACTAAAATAACAAATATTGAATTTCTATTATTGTTCATTTTTGATTGGTCGATCAATCAATTAATTAATTAATTAATAGTTCCTAAGATCAATATATATATAAATCGAAATGGATCAAGACTACCAATATTAATATCTGTGGATATTACATCATCATCATTGAACCTTCTTTAACCCAAAACGATGATACTCTTTTCGTTGTGTTGGAACGACTACTCGTTATTACTTCGTTTCCAACACACCACACATATGATCATTTATTAATTACCTCACTCTCAAGTTCATTGACTCATGCGATGTCAGTAAGTTGTAGGTGAGGGGGGGTGGTGAATGTTCAAGAATGGCATTCGAAGTCGATGAACATTCAATTGATAATTGAGGTGGTAACAACATCAATGGTAATTAATATTATTATAATAACATAAACAATTGAATTACAGTACGATTGATTGATTGATTGATTGATAAGATTCTATGATATCATGTGATTTGGTGAACAGTGCGTTGTATTGAAAATGGCGATGCCGAGCAATTGTACGTACCTTTAGAGATTGAGACGCGACATCCAGGACAATAAAGATAGTATAAATATAAGCATTTAAGCAGCATTGAAACTGTATTTAATTGGTAATGAAGTCGATAGCGACGTAATGTGAGCGAAGCGACAAAGCAGCGCCAGCGCCACGAGCCATCCACACACGATTATGGAAGTGTTTGAATGTAGGCAAGAAGATTCTTGAAGATTGGTGTACCAAGTCCAGTGACTGGATCCCATCCTTTTGATGCGGTGAAGCCGTAAGGAGAGCAACAGAACTCAGTGCAGCTGTTGTTGCCAATGGTGATGTCATTGAATACTGTGGCCGGTGCACTGTACAGTAGTGGGTTGATGAATCCAAGTGTTGGCTTATTGTTGTTCAAGCGGTATGAGTTGAGCAACGCGATGATACCTCCCCAGACGGGCGTGGAGGCCGATGTGCCGTCCACATTCTCAAGTCCTCCATACGCGTAGATACCATAGTTGTGACCGAGTGCCGATACATCTGGGAAGCCACGATTGCTAGAGTTGTAGATCGATGCCGATGGCAAGGGTACTCCTGAGTTTAGGTATGCCTCCACTGCAGACGACTGCCACGATGGCAAAGGCGAGAAGTATGAGAAGCCTCCACTGCTTGTGATTTGCGCGTCTGGGTATGAGCAGACCAACTCAACTGTGGATGTGGCGCACTGGACTTGTTGGCAGAGAGGTGGTGTGTCGTCGGTGAGATGGTTGGCCAAACCAGAGGATGAAGTTGCCTGCAACATTGTGGCACCGACCGCAGTGACATAGGGAGATGTGGCTGGGAACGATGTGGACAATGGCTTCTCCTTGGGCAGACAATCAGTGTTGCTGTCACCTGGTGCACCATTGTCACCAGATGCAGCGAGTAGTGTTATACCCCTGAGACCGCACTTGATGTACTCCACATTGCAACGAGCGATGTACTGTTGATTGGTCTCACCCTTGGTGCAGTGTCCAATGCCAGAGGGTCCGCAGAGTAGGGTCTCAGGAGTGCCCCACGACATTGACACGACGTAGGGAGCGGGATCAGTAGTGGCAAGGTCCGATGCAAACTCATACATCCATCCATCAACGGTCCAGAACCAAATGGACGCAGTCTGAGCGATGGCACCGCCATATTGAACGTCCAATGTTGACTCGGTGTCTGGGTACTGCGGGGCGAAAGGTCCGACGATGCGATCGACATTGATGGCGGGTATGCCCATCTGCTTTCCAAACATGTTCAGATCATCCTTGTTGTATGATTGATCATCTTGGAATTCGACAAGACATAGTGATGTGTTGTGATTGTTGTCGTAGCCACTGGGTATGCCGTAGACGTTTTGAATGGACCATGGTACCACGATGCCGGGATCGACAGTGCCCACTCGCCTGGTAGTCTTTGACGACTTTGAAGGATGGTTACGTGACTTGGTAATTGGTAACTCTGATATGCCCGTCACCATTTCAATCACATCAGAGTATGTGGATGGTATCGTGTAGAGTGATGATGCACGGATGACGTGATGGCTATCCTTTGTGTCGTGTTTGTAGTGGAACATCTCCACACGAAAGAGACTCTCAACATCAGCTACCAATGCCGATGCCTTGATGAAGTCTCCTTTGTTCACAACATTGAATGCGCCAGACCTCTCCAACCAAAGAGTGATCTCCTCGGACACCTCATGAGGAGGTGCGATCAACTCATTGATTTGATCAATGGTCCAATGTTTACCTAATGTTAATGAGTTAGTGAACATTCATTCATTCATTGAGATTGAGAGAGAATGAGATATTCATACCATAGTTTGCTGAGGTAGGGTTTGAAACATCGAGTAATACAGACTCGAGGACATCCAGGTTGCTCTGTTTGAGTGCCAGACGGAAGTCAACAACATCATTAGGTTGGGCACGCGTGGTCCTTGTCCATTGTGTCTCAGCGGACACAATGACTATGGTCACCAACAATAAAACTATTGAATTACTACTACAAATACTACTTATCATGATTGATGATGGTTGATAGATTAATTGAGTGTCTCATCTCTTTGACATTATATCGATCTTGTTATTAGTATGAGATCATGTGTATCCGATAAGTTGACGCAAGTTACAATGAAATGGGTGTTGGCAACCCTTGTTTGTTGTCGACAATCAATGTCGGGCCATCATCAAAAGTTATGGTTTTGTAATTGGAATTGGATTCAATGCATCAAAGATAGACTCTGGTAGCCGCAGGTTTAACAGTTACGGTGATCCAAAGAATCCAACTATCGATGGCCATGGTACATTGGTATTTATGGACTGCCAAATGATGGATGAATATGTCGAGATTATCAGGCAGCTAACAGCTTGATGATGTTGTGATCATTGCTTTCGGCTGGATGATGACACTCTCTGATTGCCCATGTACCATAAAGCCCTACCCTTACCCTACCCTACCCTTACCYACCCT